TTTTTCTCCACATCTTCATTATTCTTCTTAAATCTTTCTTTTTCTTTTTCCATGCTTTATCGTACCATTTTCTATCTCTTAATTTCCACACTTCATACTGTTTTTCTACCTTAGGTACCGCACTCTCCAATCTTTCTTTCAATTTCTTTCAGCTTCCTTTCACCTCTTCTTCTTTCCACTTCCAATCCTTACATCCTTCTTCATACTGATCGATCAATTCTTGAGTCCAATCTCTCCTTGCTCTTATCCTCTCTTCTTTTTCTATAATTCCTACTTCTACTTCCTTTTCTAAATACACCCCCAACGGCATATGATCCAATTCCGTTCTTTGTCCTGTCTTCATTACTTTTACCTGATCTAAGGCTTCTTGATTCCCAATTGCATAATCTATTACAAATTCCCCTCTGCTGACAACGTACGAGAATTCTACTTCTTCTCCATTTTGCCCATTTATTATACACCATCCTTCTTCTGTTATTTCTTTCATTAGTCTTCTCCCTTCCTCATTTATTTTATCGTCTTTTGACTTTCTTACTTTTACTTCCTTGTTGCCATTTATTTTATTAATACATCCTCTTTCTCTCCCGGTTCTGGGATTTCAATCTCCCAGTACTAGTACACTTCCTCTTTCCTTTGTTTTTACTTTCTCTTTTATAATTTCCATCGTCCTTTCTACGTTTTGACCTATATATTCCTGTGATTTTCCACTCCTCATTTCCGTATTTTATCTTCTGCATTATTACGTTATCGCTCCATATTTTGTATTTTCTGCTTTCAATCTTTTTACTTATTCCTAATATTACTTCTGCTTTCGCTCTACCTTTTTTCATGCTCTTTTGTCGCTGCTATACACTTCCACTCAAAACTTTTTGACAACTCACACTCTACACTAGTCTACTTGTCCTGCTCTAACCACGTTTCTTTTAACACTATTATTTCAAAATCACTCAAGTACTTCCACACTTCACTGTCCTTATTTAACACTCCCGCAACGTTCCATGCACAAATACTAACATTCCTTCTTCTCACTCCCTCCTACTCTCTATCTTCTCGTTCTCTTCATTCTGGCATCCTGCTTCTTTCTTCAGTGAACTCTTCTTTCCGTTCATCATACCTAAACCACTTACCATCGACCATCATCTTCATATACTTTGTATTCTTTCCTTTACTCCTCTGCTCTTTTGACTTGTTGAAAATATTGCTTTGAATCTCTCTTTCTCTGTTAAATCACTATCTATGTAAACTCCTCTCTCCATATATTTTTTATTCCTCATTACTTTTTCTTTCATTTCTTTGTATAGCAACCTTACTACAACAACCTTCCTTACATTTTGCCCAGCGTTCACAATTATTTCTTTAGTTTTCTCTACCTTAACTTTCACTTTGATCTTAGGTTTAATGAATTCTCCCACATTTTTCTCCAGATTCTCTCCTTCAATATTTTCTCCTTCGATCACAATATTCGGTCTCCTTTTTTCTATCTCATCTTTTTCTTTTTCCTATTTCAACTTTCTTATTAATTCTTCTAGTGCCTTCTTGTTTTCTGTCCACTGCTGTCTCTTCTATCCACATCTGTTTTACTTATTTCCAGTTTTCTTCTCTCCTTTCTAGAATACTAAACATACTGTCGAACTTATTTTCCAATCTACTAAACTTATCGTTTAAATCTTTATTCTCTTGACTTTCTTTTGTGAAGTTTAATAAAGACTGCTCCTTTGGTTTCACATTTGCATTACTTCTTGTGTTCACGTTTACACCCGTCACTTTCCTGGTCATTTTCAGATTCATGTTGATACCACAGTTTTCTTCTGTACTGGCTTTTTCACGTCAATCCATCAGAAATCATCTTTAGTGACCTTAATCAATAACGTAGGAATCTTTCTTATCGATCCATTTAGGGACCTATCCTTTTATCTGGTACCGGTCTTTCTGAAATCTTCCTTATCGACCCCTCTCTTTGTTAACCTCCCTTCTTCTTTATCTACCACTATTTTATTTGGCCAGGGACCTTCCTTATCTACCTTTCAGCTTGCCCCTTTTTATCGACCTCTTTCTCAAGTTGCTGCTTCCTTGTTCCTAAACCCTACTAACCTCACTTTTCCCTCACACTTCACTGCACTTTTTCCTTTTTTTCATCTCACTACCACTACTTAAATACTGTTTTTCTGTCCTCTTGTCACTCGTTTTTCCGCTCACTATCACCTTCTTTTATGATTTACCTTCTTCATATGCAAATAACATTGTCATATACTGTCCCACTACTACCACATACAGTGTCCTACTACTGCCGTAATCCTCAAAGACCATGTCCCACTACGGCAGATTTCACGACTTATTTGAAAAATTATTTAATTAAACGGATAATGATAAGCACTGTCAATAAATATTGTTTCCGTAAGTAAAGATCTATATTTTCAATTAAAAAAAAAAATCAGGTGAATTAGCATGAGTGAAACTTCAAAAAAAAAGAAATAAATATTTTTTGCTTAAAAAAATGTCGTATTATACCCCATTTTACCTTAGTCATCCGCAAAAATATTGTCTATCACAATCTTGAATAATTACATTAAAAATTTTTTATACATAGAAGGTAAGGTGGTCGTTTTTTAACCTGTGCTATATGTAATATATATATACATTCAGAAGTAACTGCCACGACAAAAGTTCTTTATTTATATTACTAAATGTTTCGGTATATTGTGATATAAATTGAATGCTTCGATTATTAAAAAAAAAATTCTGGACTCTTAATTAAACTGTGCTCTGATTCTATAAAGGCCAAATCCAGTACGACTTAGACCAATATTCTTACCTATAAAAAAAACAGCTTATGAATGAAGAGATTTACTTGATGTTACATTATTTTTTAAACACTAATTAAAAAAAAAATTTAACGGCTTTAAAAATTTTTGAATCAAACTTTAAATTGTATCAAAAACTTTCTTTATCTAATATCTTGTTAACAATAGCAAATACCATAAAAATAAAAATACTAGAGATCAGTTCATAAAATTACAGTCTTTTTAACATCTTGTAACACATGCAAAATTAATTTCATGGAAACATTAGAAAATACGCAATGTTTTCGTGGTAATTGTATTTTTACGACAAGACGTTATGGTTCCTAATTCTGACAAAAAAATAAAGTAACTTGTTTAAGTACCCTCAATGTAGAAATCTATGTTTTGCAGCAATAACAGCACATAATGGATGTATGTTACTGAAAAACAACGTACTTTTCACTTATTTTAAACTTAAAAACACATAATCAATTAAGGTTATGTTTCCGCGAACCACAAATCACTGGATGAATGTAGTGTAACATGCTGACTTCAGAAAAATTTATTGGGACAATCAAGGGCCACCTAATATTTTACTATTGATGAGAATTTAAAAAATGTATGATTTTTTTTTAATTTACTGACATTTAGTGGGACCAGCTTAGGTTTCCTAAATCTAAAAAGAATTCGGATAGTCTGTTTAAGTGCTGTTAATGTATTTATCTATGTTTTGCAGCAATGACAGCTCCCAATGGATGGAGGTAACTGAAAAAGGTCTTATTTTTAACTGTTTCTTAACAGTAAGAGTACATAACCAATCAACGTTATGTTTCCGAAAGCTAAGAATAACTGTATGTATTAAATATAATACAAAGTCACTAAAGAAAATTATTAGGACCATGTACGGCCCCCTACGGCCCTTTTTGCGATCATAGATAGATGAGAAGAAAAACCTATTTCGGCACTTGCCTACCATGTATTACTGAAAGCCTTAGTGTTTAAGTTCTTTTTTATATGTATATCCCTCTGATTGTTAAAAGTTGTGTTTAAACTGGTTAGATGTTCATAATTCCATCTTTTTACGGTATCATACGCCCTTTGCCGTTGGTTTATTGTGTAATTGACAGCAAAAACGAAAATTTTTTTCTTCAGATTTTTGTTGGGCTCCAACGTTTGAAACTTCATACACATCTGGTGGTTGAAGACAGAGCATCTAACAGTTTAGATTTTTTTTTTTAATATAGTGAGAGTTACCTAGTACAGGAAGAAAGTAAATGTTAGTTATTAACAGGTAATTTAACCAAGATAGTTGAGATAGTAGACAATTTTTTTTCTTTGATCAGTATTGTGTAAATTACATGATCACCCTACAACGCTACTTCATATTTACTAAGTTTACAGTATTGCGCTATTAAGACTTTATTGTAATGACATAGATAAATTAATGAGTTCAGTATTACAGTATAATCATGGGCATTAGATAAATTTCGTGCCACGAAAGATTGTGTAACTAAATGTATATACACTGAAAACAGTAAAAGATATACAAATGAAATTAAAAATTGGTTCAAGTGCAAACTTTAAAAAAAATCTAAGTAAGTATGGGACATTATTAATTTTAAGATTTAAGGAGCAGTGGTTTGTTTTTAGAAGTCTGATGTAAATATACATGATCATGGCCTGGGAAACTAGAAAAGGCCATCAGTTTCACTCACGATTACATACTTAATTGTTTAATTATCAAAATGCAGTTCCACTAAAATTTAGAATGGATTTTTGGAGACGCACGTGATTCTACTACATGCATTCTTTTGTTGACATCAAAACCCTGAGCTCAACGTAACAAAGTAAAACGATCTTTATTAGGATTTTTTTTTTGTATAGTACATTTCATTTCTTTTTCTACGTGAAAATTTGAGTATTCTTTTACTAATGTAATGTAAATACATTTTCATAACATTAACTAGATATTTTTTATATTATTATATTCATACATCCTACAATTTTTGGCTTCACGATTATTAATGGAACATGCTGACACAATATCACAACTTTCATTAGGTCATATATATATTAATTGTAGTTCCTAAATTATGAAAATTGAGTAGTAAGTATTATAAATCTTAACACTAGAGTTTTTATCATCAAAATATGACAACAAAATTATACAAGTATTCCACAAAAACATTTTGTAATAAAACCCAATATTGATTGACTTACCTTTAGTACAGCAAAACAGAGATAAGGTTTCCTATTAGTTTTATTATGTTCAACTGATTCTTCTTTAAAGCTTTTAAATTACATGTAACATTGAGACTACTCAATGATAAAGATACCATGAAACAACTGTGCAGAGCAACACTAACACGTTGTACAAGTAAAGTCGGATTTAAGGTTTGTTCGCGAGCACAAGATTGGGTGACCCAGGGGGCCGGGGCGGGGTCCCCGGGTTGCCCGAAATACCAATATTTAGACCCGCCCCAACAGCTGCATGTGAGCCCTCTGGTGTGATAAAAAGAAAGCCTGTATCGGTGAAAAGCATCAGATGATCCAGCTTAACAGCGTGAATGGTGCATGAATTGTCCGATTCGTTAGTAATTGTGCATATTTTTTGAATCATACTATAAAGAAAAATTAAACTAAGAACTCAGACTAATAGATTATAAAATATTTATGCATCGCTTGGTTGTTCCGTGAGTGGCAAGTGCGCGCATGTCCTAGTCGGTCGGTCTGATTACTACCATGTAGTTTGTATATCTATATATAAAGTGTCCCCACCAGCGCGTCGTTGCTGTCAGTGGGGGACAGTATTTTCGGTTAATGAAAGTTAGTATCAGGACTATCAGGCGACCACGGTCAGTTCCCGAACAAATCTATTAGACTAAGAGCTGAGGCCCGAGGATGGTAAAAATCTTAACCAACCGCCACTCTCACCAGAATTAAGGATCCTTGTGATTCGTCGAGATCAGAAATATTTTAGTGTCATATTTCATTTTGGTAAAAAGTTTTGTTGGTATTTAGGACTAATGGATAGAAAATAAAAAAACCAGTTGTGGGTTCAGAGACCCACGACAGATGTGAAACATTAAAGAATATGTTATTAAACTCGGTAGTACTTGATTGTCTAAAATAAAAACAGTAGTTTTCGTAAGATGAGTGCCGTCGTCTTCAGGGCTTTTTTGCGGCACGAGGGACCTGCGAAACAGAGCCCGAGAGACGTAAGGCAGCCATGGAGCAATGACGCGTATGTAGCGAATCCTATTTTTTCTACCAAGCGCACACCAGCCTCTCAAAAGCGCGTGAGATGGAAAAAGTATTTATTTTTTTGACTCTAAATAATCAGTTTTTATTTCATATTATTATATTAAAGAGACAGTTTACTTGAAAATACGAATTTCTATCAGTGAATGTTATGCATTAGGAAAAAGCAAATTATGTTAATTTTTTTTTGTTCATTAACATTTTAACAACGAGAACAAGAAAGAACAATAATACATGGCAAAGAGTATATCTATACTACCTACCTACACATAGGTATATACATTAGTTTAACGAACGATCAGGTGTATTGCTTTTACTGTCTCTCTTTCTCTTTTTGGATACCTGTTTCCTGTGCGTAGTTGCGCACTTGCACGGATTTCGTTGGCTCTTTATTGAAGACAGGTTAAGGGGGCTCCTTCACGAAAGTCCCCAAACAGAGATATATTATTTCTTGTAAATAAAAGTCTACTGAATTTAATGGTGGTCTAAATTATATTTCAAATGGGTCAAAATTTTGAGAAATCAGAGCTCAAAGTTGTAACTATTAGCACGTGTTCCTATAGGGCAGCGTGAAAAATAATTTGTTTTCGTTTATAATAAACCTAAATTAAATGTCCCAGCAGACTGAATATATACGTTTTGTAGATGAAGTCTTCCTCTGTAATATGCTGTATTAAAAATTGTGGTTAAAGGACCATTTTAGCGAGATATTTGTGATGGAAATAAATAAATAGTGTCCGGGAGGTCAGTAGCAGACGTACTTGTTCACGACATATATATACCATATACCTATATATTACATCGCTATACTACACCAACACAGGTGGTCTGGTCTGGTGGTGTACCCTCGTATGCACTAGACTGGTCAAAACAATAATTAATTTTTCGTACAAAGTTAAACTACACACATAAATATCATTTTTCCCAC